TGCAGAAGTCAATATCCCTATCGGGTGGCATACCCGGCAGGTCTGAAGGAAATACCTCAGGAAACTCACGAACAACAGGCATAAAATCAATAGAAGGAACCTCGGCACTAGAATCACGAAAATACACCAAATAGGCCAAACACCCCTTCTCGACCATACGCCGAGCCTTCATATATGAGATAACACTACGGATAGAATGACCAGGAGTCCCTCTCCACTCAAGACGAGGTAGACCCGGTAAGGCTAAGGTCATAGTCTTGGCATAACAATCCAAGATAACGTGGTAAGGTGATAACCAGTCCATCCCCAATATGACATCGAAATCAACTATGTCCAGAAGTAACAAATCTACATGAATCTCAAGACCCCCAATCACAACTATACATGAACAATGGACACGATTTACCATAATAGAATCACCCACTGGTGTAGACATATAAATAGGAGCACTCAAAGAATCACTAGGCATGACCAGATATAGTGTAAAATAAGATGACACATAGGAGTATGTAGATCCTGGATCAGATAAAACTGAAGCATCTCTGCTACAAACTAGAAAAGTACCGATACCTCCACCTCTAGTACCTCTACCTCTAGCTAGCTGAGTGGGCTGAATGACTCCCTCAATGAACCTCCCCACACTCTCTCTCTCAGTGATAGGAAGAAACTTCTCCAGAAATAGCTGAGAAAACCGATACCAAGTCAAAGTTGGCGCCCCAACTAGTCTAGCCAAACAACAACCTCTCCAACAAGCCTTGGAGGATCCAGACAAACGAAAAGCAGCAAAGTCGACTCCATTGGTCTCCACTATCCCCATGTTCTTGAGAACCTCATGACAACTGTCCAAATAATCTTGGGGATCCTCAGAAAATGTACCACCAAGAGTGGTAGTGAAGAGCTTGGTGAAACCTATCCAACCTCCACAAAGCCTTCGAAGACGTAGTTAATCCATCACCGGTCTGTGTGGCTGCTCGGCTAAAGAAGCGATACGTGACCTCACCATTAGCGAAAAGATAAGAGTAGAGGTTTCAATTTAGCACTGAGAGAACAAAATCGCACAACGGAGAAGAATAGAAGTGAAACTTTTCCTAACTCTGTAGCCTCTAGGGATAAGTACAGACGTCTCCTTACCGATCCCTCAGACTCTACTAAGCTTGTCTATAAGTTGTGAGACCTATGTAACCTAAAGCTCTGATACCAACTTGTCACGACCCGGATTTCTTACCCTCGGGGGTCGTGATAGCGCCTACTAGTGAAAGCTAGGCAAGCCAACCAACTGAACTATTTACCTTGTTTTCATTTTTAATCTGATAACAGTTAAGAGTCAACAATTAGATAACAACAGAATTGAATAAGCGAAAGGTTGCATTGTAAAGTTTTAATAATACTACTAATACCAATCCATAACAAATCTACCCAAGACTGGTGTCACAACTTCACAGACTATATAGGAGTACTACAAATAAAGGTCTGAAAGGAATAAATACAACATTGTCTCCGGAAATACATGAAAGAAACAGGAATAGTAGATAGAAGGAGACGCCAAGGCCTGCAGACTCCTGCAGGACTATCTCGAGTCGCCTGATGAACAAGAACAACAATCTCACTGTGGTCCGAAATCTACAGCATTGGGATCTACACAAAAGAGTGCAGAGTGTAGTATCAGCACAACTGATCCCATGTGCTGGTAAGTGCCTAACCTAACATCGGCAAAGTAGTGACGAGGCTAGGACAAGACTACCAACTAAACCTGTGTAGTTAAAGCATATATATAGGAAGTAATAATAAAGGAAACTAGCAGTTAAAGAGGGGAAGGGGACATGTTGTGGGGGAATATCACTTACCAACAGTAACTCAAGAGAAAAGCATAAAGAACAATTTAAAATTCGCAGCAGAAAGAATAAGGAAATAGTAATAAATCAATATCCACTTTTATGATTTATTGTTGCGGCGCACAACCCAATCCAAATCATAAAACACTGTTGTGACGTTCAACCCGATCCATGTCATATATCAGTGTTGCGGCGTGCAACCCGATCCAATCACAATATTGTTGCGGCGTTCAACCCGATCCAAATATAATATTGTTGCGGCGTGCAACCCAATCCAAATATAATATTGTTGCGGCGTGCAACCCGATCCAAATATAATATTGTTGCGGCGTGCAACCCTATCCCAATATACAATTCAACACCAATCACAAAGGAGCCCCGACAAGGGAACAATAAGGGAACAATACTATCCCGACAAGGGAATCAATAACATCATAATAAAATCAAGTAACAATAGAAAATCAGTAAATAAATGTAAAGGACAACATAACTGAATTATCAGCAAGATTCAGGAAAATCAAGGACAAGTGCACGTCATCACCTTTCGTGCTTTAACACTCTCTTACCAAAATAATAATCACAAGAAATAAGGGCAAGAAAATAAATGAAATCACAATAAAATCTCGGCAAGGGAACAACAGTACAACAATTGAATCCCGGCGAGGGAACAATATCAAAAATCCTCTTCTCTTTTCCTTTTCACATTTACTTCACAATTTGAGCCAATGCTCTATAAGGTTCAATTGCCAGTTATACTTCCAGAATTCATTTTACAACTTGAGCCAACGCTCTTCAATATTCAAATACCAATTACTTTCACAAGTCTTGCTCAATAATAGAAATCATCACAAAAGGCATGAACAATACAAGCGGAGTGACATTAATCATAGTACAAGACTCATGGGCATGCTTGACACCAAAGTATAGATACTCGTCACCATGCCTATATGTCGTACTCAACAAATGACACGTAGCAAATAGGACAACTTCTAATCCCTCAAGCTAAGGTTAGATCAAACACTTACCTCGATGCCACGAACACAATTCAAGCTTCAACTATCACTTTACCTCTTGAGTCCACCACCAACTCGCGCGTATCTAGCCACAAGTTACTTAATAATATTAATAAGTGCCAAATGAATTAATTTTAACGCATGGAAATAAGTTTTCTAAAGTTTTTCTCAAAAAGTCAAAATTCGACCCCGGGCCTGCTTGGTCCAAATCCGAAATTCGGACCAAACCCCGATTAACCATTCACCCCCGAGCCCGGATATATAATTGGTTTTGGAATCTGACCTCGATTTGAGGTCTAAAACCCCAAATTTCAATATTCTTAGGTTTTACCCAAAATTCCCAATTCCATCATGAAAACCCTAGATTCTAGGATGAAATCTTGTAAAAAGAAGTTAATGAGTAAAGAAAATGAGTTAGAAATCACTTACTAATGTTTTCAACAAGAAAGGTTATTTGAAAAATCGCCTTTTATATTTTGGGGTTTTGAAAAATAAAAAATAACTAAAAATCCTATTTAAATATACCCCTTTTAGACAACCTGTGCGAACCGCACAAAAAGGAATGCGGTCGCGGAGCTCACAAGGTTGACTGCAGTGCCATGCTTTAGTATTTTGGCCATAACTTTCTCTATATATGTCCAAATTGTAATTTCTTTACCTCTATGGAAACTAGACACGAAGAGCTACAAGATTTGATTTTAAATAATCTCAAAATTCCTTGTAGATCAAAAGAAATAAGCTTCCGAAGTCGGACCAGTGAACCTGTGCGGACCACACAAAATTGAGTGCGGACCACACAAAATTGAGTGCGGCCGCAAAGCCTCCACCGTGGACAGCACAAAACCAATACGGACCGCACTGGCGGGTTCAGAGATTTGCACTTCTCTGAACCTGCAACATCCATATTTTAAGCCTAAGACATCCCGGAACCTACCCGAAACTCACCCGAGCCCTCAGGACTCCAAACCAAATGTGCATACTAACTCAAAAACATTATATGGACCTACTCATGCGATCACATCATCAAAATAACATGTAAAACCATGCATTAAACCTCAAGTTCTTAACTCTTCAAGCGGAAGTCCAACTCACGTCAAATAGACTCCATTTTTCACCAAATTTCACAGTTATCATTCAAATACTATAACAAGTTTGTACCGGCCTCTAGAACCAAATACGGGCCCGATACCAATGGTTTCAAACATTAATTCTTCTCTTCATTTCTTGGATAATTCAGCAAAATAATTTCTTTCAAAAATTAATTTCTAAGGCTTGGGACCTCGGAATTCATTTTCGGGGCATACGCCCAAGTCCCATATTTTACTGCGGACCTTTCGGGATCGTCGGAACACGGATCCAGATCCGTTTGCTCAAAATTTTGACCAAAGTCAACCAAAAATCAAATTTTTAACTCTAGAAATTTCTATTTCTCAATTTTTTTCACATAGAAGACTTTCCGGATATAGGTCTGGACCACGCGCGCAAATCAAGGTGAGGTAAAAGGGAAATTTTTAGGCCTCGGAACACTGAATTTATTTCTAAAATAAGTGATGACCCAAAAGGTCATCACACCCTCGTCCCTTCTCTAGAGCTTTTATTTTTGTTTATAGATAGATATATAATACAGAAAATCAAATCTAAATAAGTACAAATTTGACTCTAAAAGATAATAGCTTTTAGAAATCCTACTCATTGAATTTTTTTGGATGTATTTCATAACATCATCAGTAGATTAGTTTGTATATTCCCTTTCTCAAGAACCAATGAATTTTTATTCATTAGTCTCATTCCAAATACTCCCAAAGAACACATAGATCTAAGCCCTCGCCCTCGTCCCTTCGCTACTACACCTGGTATAAGGAAATCATATTAGTAAAAATTTAGCACTAAAATTTAAATGTACAAATTGATAACACAATAAATTTGAGAAACCATACGAATTTCAACAATTTGGTTGTATTGCATAACTTGATCAGTAGATGGAGAAAATGGAATATCTGGTCCAGATAACCCTAAAGAGCATATAGATTTAAGCCCTTTCCCTCGTCCCTTCCCTATAGCACCTAGTGCAACAAATGCATATTTAGTAGTAGCTTTCACAGTGGATGCCACCTCATTTTCATTCTTTGATGGTTTCATAACAAACCTACGAAAAATCAAATTAAGACATTATAACAATAATGTACTAATAAAAAGATCATGTAATCAGAATGCATAATAATATGAATATGGTAATGGCATAAAGAGATACTTCACCTCAGTTGTTCTTTTTCATTTATTTTGTACATGACTTTCTAAATCAACATCACCATCTATTGGTTGCAAAATCTCATAGAAATCACGAGGTTGCGTCTTTCTTGCTACACGCCAACCTTTATTGGAGTTATCATTAGCATAAAATACTTGATATGTCTGGTCCGCTAACACATAAGGTTCATTTGTTTTCAAAAATCGTCCCCAATTAACACTTACAATGTCATATTCATCTGTTTTAATTCCTTTTTTTTATCATACACATCAAACCAATTACATCAAAACAAAATCACTCTTCTTGTAGTGAATTGCATTTCAAGAACATCAGTTAAAACTCCATAGTAATCAATATTCTCACTATGTTCACCAGTCTCACTAACAACAACCACACCACAATTTTGAGTCCTTAAATGTTTATCATAATCTTCAACATGAAATCTATATCCGTTAACAATATAGCCATTATAATGTAATACATATTGGGTAGGACCACATGAAAGTGCAAGGAGATCCTCCTGAGCCGACTATCATCTTTTTTATACAATTGTGCAACCTATCAACAAGATAAAGTTGATTACTATAGAATAAGTAATATAATATTGGATTTTCAAATTTGATATGTATATATTACTCACCATTCGATAAATTGTTTGTTCCATTCCGTATCAGACAAGTGTTGAGTAGAATCTACATGAATTTGTGCGAACTCTCTACAAATTTTAGTTGAACCACAAATGTCAAACATAAAGGAGAAACAATCTTACAGGAAACAAGGAAAACAAAATATGATATGGGGTGTGTTTGGTATAACGGAAAATGTTTTCCGTGGAAAATGTTTGCCAAGAAAATATTTTCTTGGAAAACAAGTAGTAATCTTATTTATTTTCCAGTGTTTGGTACGCAAATTAAAGAAAATGGCTTCTCAAGAATATTCATAAATAATTTAGATATAATAAACATGAAGAATAAACTTTTAAACCAATAACCTTCTGAGCCCACATTTTTCATAAATTTTCGAACCGCCAAACTTTCGAAACCGCGAAATTTCGAATTCGTAAACTTCCAAACACATAAACCTCCAAACTCGTAACTTTGAAACTTGTAAAATTTTGAACATTTAAACCAATAAATAAAAAAACTAAAAATAAAAAATATATAAAAAATAATTTTCGGGGAGGGGG